CTTAAATTCTGCTTTCTCACTCATTCTCAATCATTTGCTGACTCATGTATTTGCTGCCTTTAGGGAAAAGAAGGGTAGTTAGTATAATTTTTTCACAAGATTTCTAGTTTCATCAGAGTGTCACAGAGGAGAAAGCTGGAATGTATGAAGCCCACAGGGTCAGAAATATGACAGATGGAAAGAACCCAAACAGTGTTTACCTTAGGTCTCACAACTTTTATCCACTGTATGTCAGTGGCTGACTCAGGATTATCTCAGGATTATCCTGACTTCAGTTTTTCAGGGGAACTTTCTTGCTGAAGGCAGGCACTGCTCAGCTATTGAAAAGTTTTAGCCTCTCTCTCTGGGAGAGAATAAATCAGAAACAAAATCTTATACTACATGCTCTGGTAAATACTATGCTCTTCTCTCCTATTTAAGATTTTTAAGAATTTTCAGATAATCCTTGTAGCAGATACCTTATGGAGCGGGAAAGAGACACCTGAAATTTAAACTGACCTGTGAGATCTTCCTCAGATTAGTGGGCAAGGACGTGACCTTGCAAAGGTTCCTGCTATCCATCCCTCAACTTGATCTCCTGCACAGCTTGTGAAGAAAAAATAAAAATAGCAAAACACACTACCAAAGATGCTGCAAATATTTTCTTTCTGTTGCAGGTGCAGAAGAGCCTGGTATCTGGCAGCAGACCTCCTTAAAGTACACCTCCCTCTGTAGGTGCCAAATCTTTCTATGCATGTGGTGCTCCGTATCCATCCTCTACAGGATCTGCTTCCTGGTGGTGCTCCAAGGGTTTGATCCTCCACTTCAGGTCAGGATTAATCCTGTATACAGGTATGCTTGGTGTATAGCTGTGGCTAAGAATCTCGAGGGCTGCTGCTATTGTGGAAATTAAGAGAATTAGCCACTACTGAGGGATGCAATTCTTAACTGAGGTTCCTGTTCTATCATAGGTACAACAGCCTGCACGGAGCTGCTGAGTCATGCATCAAATCTGCCTGTGACAGTGCCGAATGCTGCAGGGAGCACATTAACGAAACACCATTTCGGGTGAAAAGGCTTATCTTTGTTTTCTTCCAGTGGCAGACTAGTGCGAGAATGTTAAAATACTGTATTAAGTTAGTTGTTATAGGGAAGGGAGAAGAATGATGCTTCAAAGTTACATGTCCACTAAAATTGAAGTTTGGATAGTATGCATTCAGAAATAATTTTATTTTCCAGTAATGACAATATGCAATACCACGTAAGAAATGAAATTGAAGAATTGATCTTATTCTTCAAATACAGGATAGCTTCAATATTAAAATTAACATATAAATTTAGCATCAGTCTTATTTCCTCACTCACGTCCACTGAGTAAATGCACACAAAGAATGAATCACTGAAGCAGTATACTGAGAGAATCAAAGTCATTTTTCAAAGGTGTCAGCACAAAAGTGAGGTGAGCCTGTTCACCAAGCATCCAACAACTGTTGCAGTGGTGCCCCTTCAGACCCATAATGGGTACAAGCTGGGGACCCCCAGAGAGAGCAGCACAACTACCAGCAAAGGCAAGTCAGGGAGCAATTTGAGGCCAGGCAGACTCATTGCACCGTGCTTACCCCGTACCTTGATTCTTCCCTTATCTACAGCTATGTGAGCTGATGGAGAATGTGAGCAACCCATTAGGCCTTTCCACAGCACTCCTCTCAGGGAGAAATTGTTATTGTTGTTGTTTACATTATCCTTGGCCTTATTGACCTTGTCCACAGCTTAAGGAGCAGAGATGAAGCAGCGTGCCTCTGGGGCAGCAATCAGCCTCTGCAGAGCTGCTCTGGTCCCTGGTGGGCCTGCCCTGCTGCTGAGGACAGGCAGAGCCCTGAGCAGAGACAGCTTTCCCGTGGCATTGCCTGTGAGTTTTGTGTACACCCATTGAGAGCTGACAGTGACATCACCTTCCTGACAAGAGACAAAGCAGCCTCGGGGCATCCCAGAGAGGCACCTGAGCAGCTGCTCAGCTGTGAGCAGGAGCTGTGCAGAGGGCAAGGGGTGAAGCTCTCTTGCTCCAAGGAAGCCACAGCTGCTCTAGCATGAAAAAAAAAAAAAAAGAAAAAAAAGGACCCCGTAGTTTCTGGGCTTCAGCAGAGTCCTCACCAGGCTCAAGCCATCTTTCCTGGTGTTTAAATTCATTTTTTTTCCCCTGGGGATTGCTGAGCATCAATGCCTTCATCTTTACACCCCTCATCCATACTCCTCTTTCCTTCCACAGCAGGAAGGATCTGCTCAGACATGGAAATACCTTTTTTTTTTACCACAAGATAGAGCTGGAAAACCCAGGGCCTGGGTGGCATGCCTGCAGCGTTTCCCCCAGGCCCCGGGGCCGTGGGAAGGATGTTGCACCCCCGTGGGCGCTCTGCAGGTGCAGGACACAGCCCTGCTGCTGTCACCCACCCCGGGGAACAGCACGGCCTGAGACAAACTAGGACCCCACCAGCTCTGGGGTGGCCACCATGGTCCCTGGCTGGATGGACTACCCAGGGGTCCTGCAGAAAAGGGACTCCCTCACCCCTTGGTTGCCCGCACTGAGGGTGGGAGTGGGTGGGCATCCCCCACCATCACGGTGAGGGTCTGAGGAACAGGTCCCAGCACTGTCCAGGCAGAAAGGGGTCCTGCCAACATGCCAAGGGTTCCTTGCTGTGTGGCAGCTAGAAGCTAAAAGTTATATTTGCCTGTAGTGCCAGCCTGGAAAATATAGATGGGTGAATAATTTCTCAAAGATATAATTGCATGCTGATCCATATTTTCTGAAAAAATAATCTTCTGGATAGTGAAAATATTGTGTGGTCAAACAAAAGCCATTGTTCAACATCAAAACTTGCATTTTGATTTTGAACAGCTTTAGGTTTACTTCATTTCAAAAAAAAAAAAGATATAATTGTGAATTGAATCAAGTAACATTTTATCACATTGGACATAGATAATTTTAACTTGTTTACTTTTTCAGAAAACGGTTTATCAATGAGATCTACTTAAAAAATCATACCGCCTAATCTTCATTTTTCACAAGTGTGATAATAGTTCACTCCAGTTCAGTCAAGGGTCACCTTTCTTTGAAAGATGTGTCCCTATTCCAAGGTGATAAAATTCTCTTCTCTGAAAAGCCACAGGCCACAGTGTGTAAGGTCACAATCTCAAAACCAGAGCTCCTGGATCTATCTGCACTTATCTAGCCTTTGACAATTTCTTCATGATGTTGGAGCACGGCATTTCACTACCTCATCATCCCTTTCTGTTTGCAAGATCAGCCTATTTTACATATTGTTTTTCCCTCTGGAGTTGCTGGAAGATTAATATCTTTACAAGTGCCATGTGAGTGCAGGCAAATACATCAGTACAAAACTGTAATTCCGTGTTTATGAAAATTCCAGATGTTTTCACATTTATACTTCCACAAGGGAATTTATTTATTTGCTTTCCTCTCTCCCACCGCCTTTCTGACTTTGCTCTCTAACGTTACCAACAAATCACTTTTCTGAACAGGTTCAAAAATTATGCAAGAAAAAGTATATTTCTGTTCATATATCCCCTAAGGAAAATAAAATAATTATTTATTTTATTCTCCTTCTTTTTGTGCATATTCAGTACCATTAGAAAATGCAAGATTCACTGGGTGCACAAAACTTACAAAACATGAAATGCCAAATGAGAACACAGGCATTCGTATCAGCAATGACACTCAATAAGACACCTGATACGTATTACAGATTTAAAGCCCATCTGCTTTAGAGTCCGACTTCAGGGCAGCCACAATTGTTTTTGAGGTGTGGGACTAACCCATGCACCTCACAGGCCTGACAGACATTTCATCTGCATTCAGAGGTGTGTTTTGGAAAAGCCAACCACCAAGCAGATGTGGTCACTTGCGAACAGTTGAAAAAATGGCACTAAAACCTTAACAAACTTCTAAGTGGACAATTAATTTAGTGGCATTCCTCAACAGAAGCAATTCCTAATGTTACTCTGACACACATAAGATATGCAGTGTAATAAATGCATGCAAACATGCAATAAATTGTTCAAACCATTATTCTTCTAGATTTAGGGAAGTTACTATTTGGCTAAATACTATTTTAAATAAAAGCCTGCCATTACACCCTATGTCTTTCTTTCTATTTCTACAGTATAGGAGAAAAGATGCTTCTGAATAGTTGGGAAGGCTTTTTTTTTCTGCTTGCTGTGACTGTAGCAAGCTCTGCTTTACTCATCTGAGCTTGGAAGTGTCTACACTACATATTCAAAAGACCTCAGCTTCCCTGATGACAACATTTGCCTAATCTCAGTTGCAAGCTAGAAGGTAGGCAAGCAGAACCCAGAGACGGAGAAAAAAAGCTTCCCTTGACTGCAGTTGCTGGAGCTGGACATTTTAACACTGGCTGAGGATTAATCAGCTTTCTATCTTCAGAAATGTTATTTGCCCAGTATAAATGACATAAACCAAGATCACCATCTTAGTTTGTTTTTCTAGAGTCCTTAGCATGCTACATTAACCTGACAATGTTTAATCTTGTGTTCATTTCACAATACACTTCATGCAATTCACAGATGTAATTGGTTTTACACTGACATTACGCGTTTCGACCTAGCCATGGGAAAAGAATAACTCTTAATATCATTTCTCTGAAAAGCGTCCAAGCTCAAGTGGCACAGAGGCAGCTCATGCTAGTTTCATGTGCATATTTCTTTCTTCTGCCTTTTCTTTCACTGCAAGGGTGATCACTGGCATAAGATTGTACAGTCCTTGTTTTAGTCCATTTGCAGTTGAACTATGCATGTTTGATTTCTTATGTCCTGAGGAGTTCTCTCTTATAAAATGGCATTCAAGTATTCTAGTTTAACATCCCCATTTTTATGAGTTAAGGAACAAAGTAGACATTGGGCTTCTGTTTCACTTATGAGTCTTCCAGAGTCCCATAACTGATAGCCATAAAGCCTTCCTTTGTAACACACTCAGCACTAAAGCCAGAGTGTTGCTATTTGGCATTATCCAGTGAAGTGCAAGAAATTAAATAAGTTATGTCTTTATTGCTACAGTACAATACCAAGCAAAGTCACTTTTTAATACAATTGCAAGGGTTTCATAGAGTAGGTGTCCCTTCTCCTAGGGCCCAGTAGTTCATCTGCACTGCAAGCATCACTTAGCTACCATGTGTTGAATGTCAGTCTAAGAAGATGTGTTGAGTATTCTTGAGTCTGAAGAATCAGACCTTTCATCATACTCATCTTCTGTGTAAATCGGTTGCTTGGACACAACAGGACACCCATCATCAGGGATCGAGATCCTAGGATCTTCTGATGAGCGGGAAGGAAGGATAGGCGAGTTTCGGAAAACGCTGGCTGAGTTGCTAGAGAAAGGACTGACATACTGGGACCGCAGCTGGTACTGCTGCTGCAGTGTCATGGTGTTCCACAGGGTGACGTCGTTGGGCAGGAATGGGCTGGACTGGTTTCTTGCCAAAGTGCTCCTCAGCATCAGTGGGTAGCGTGGTGGCTGAGGGAAAGGGTGCTGCAAAGGTACAGCCAGAGGATTTGGCACTACGTTACTGGAATCAGCAGAGAACCTCAGTGTGTCGGGAACCCTAAATGCTGAGCCCACAGACCACTTGGAAGAGGAGATAGGGTACGAACTCAGCGTGTGTTCAAAAATGTGTCCGTTGGAGGGCAAAACAAGACCATCAGATTCTGCAGAAGTTCTCTCCCCACTGGCCGCCGAAGACCGACTGGACAGGAGAACCTCTACAGCGCTCACCAGATCACCGCCACACCCCTTCAGGATCAGCTCCAGCACAGTTGGCTTTTGGTTAGGGAAAATCTTTTTCAAGACTTCAAGCGGAGGTCTGTTGGCTTTCAAACTGAAAGGTAAAGAAACTGTCCCAGAAGGACCTTCTATCAGGAGGTGGTTCTGCTCTGGGTGGTACTTGGGACTGTCTGGATGGCTCTCTGTGCTCCCACCATTTTTCTGAACTGCATAACCAACCTCATCCACTGAAACGATTTCAGGGCTTTCAGGGGTGAAGCAACTTTTGGCTTTAGTCATGTCTGGGGAACTCCTTTGGTCTGTGTCTTTGTCACTGTAGGTCTCGGCATTGTCTGCTCCATTGGCATCACCCAACCGCTCCTTACCCATGTCTGCAAAGAGAAGGCAGAGAAGTTAACAAGAACCTGAGGCCAAAAGCTTTTACAGACATTTGAGAATACAGTCTTCTTAAAGTGAACTTAGCAGGATCCTAAGGGGGGAAAAAAGTATTTTTCACAGAGATTCTGATAAAATTAAGTTATCTTTACAAAATCTCATGAGAACGAAACTGCACAAGAGTAATATGATCTGGTCTAGGCATTTTATGTTGCCTTGTAGATCTCTGTCTCATTCTCCCATGCACAAGAAAGGAAGCAGTGGGCATTTTTCTGCTGCATCCAACATGCTATAACCATCTTCTCTTGCTGGTTACAAGGCAGCAACACATCACTCAAGTCAGGCTTTCTCAGACGAACTTCAGCACTTTCACTTAATGGTTCCTCACTAGCACCATATCAGTGACTTCAAGCTGAAGATATCCAACAGGTACTTGGGAGACCAAAATTTCCTCTGCAAGTCCAACAGCATTGGTAGAACCACTCCACCATGACTACTGGCTGAAGGTTAAAGAAGTCCTCAAATGAATCAATGCATTCCAGTTCTGGCTGTGCAGAAACTGGTTCCTTCCCCAGAAAGAGTCACAGCCTTTTCCCCCAAACCCTGGAGCACAGGTGATGCCTTGGCCCATTAGAGCACAGAATCTATAAAAATCTTGTTTGGAGAGGACCTCTGGAAAGCATGTGGTCCAACCTCCTGCTCAAAGCAGGAGTAACCTAAAATAAAGAGCAGATTGCTTATGTCCCTGCTCTGATGAGTTTTAAGTAATTACAAAGATGGAGACTCCATAACCCCTCTCTGCACTTGTTCCAGGTTCCTTGCTTTTTGTGTGCTGAACAAAAAATGGCAAGAGCTGAGTACAGGGCTGAAAACAAGACCCTTGACCACACTGTCTCCACATGGACTCTCAAAAATGGGGATGCTTCAAGGCTCTGGTCACTTTGGTAACAGCTGGCCAGAGTATGTAAACCTATGGAACAAGACTGCTTTGGCAGAAAGGAGAAGAGAAGAAAGCTTGACAGCTTTCACTGTTTATGCACAAGGAGTGCAATGTATTTGCTTAAGATTGTTCATAGTCATTTCTCAAGGACGCTGCTTTGCTTGCCTCCCTCATCTCATGCAGCACAATGATGATCTCATTTGGAAGCATCAATATCCAGGCAAAGGGTCATTGTCCAAGCTGCAGCTGACAGAGACTCCTTTAACTGCACAGGGCACTTGAACACATATATGTGAAAGACTATCTGCAAAAACCAATACATATATTTTCTTGATTTCCCTAGCCCCTGGAGATCAGCCCAGCTAGATAAAGAAACTATAAGAAGTGAAGCAAGCAAAGACTTCCAAAACGTACTGATGATCACCCCTGCCCAACTGCAATGGAACAATTTAAAGGCATGCAAGCGCCTGAGCCTCACTTCTCACCCTGGACAGTCCTGCCTCCTTCTCACCCCCCAAGAATGGGCAGGGCATTTCCCCGTGCAGCAGCGGAATGAGGCTGGTGTTGAACAGATGAGGTTGAGACAAACTCTGTTAGTGCAAATTACCCGCCTTGAGAAAGCAGTCAGGGTCTGAGCAAGCCTGCCCTGAACAAGCCATGATGCTTGCCAGAATGGGAGCCACAAATAGAGGATCCTGGCAGAGCACAGCCTGACAGTCAGCATGGCAAAGGGAGTTTCTCCTCCTGAGGATGAATCTGACAAGCTGAAATGATGGGCCATCCTACAGAGCTGTGGGATGCTGCTAGTTTCGGCTGCAGAATGTGAGCACAGGAGTGGAGCTGAGGAATACAGATGGCCTTCTGAAGATCTCGCCCTTCTCTTTAAGCTGGATAACCATTTGGGTAAACATATTGGTTTCATATTGGTTATGTTCTTCTGCCCAGTGCAAATGGAGAAGGAATAACCCATTACAGAGAAGACAACGTATGCATGCATTTTTTTATATACTCAGTGCATCAGTCTCGCCTTAGTGGCCAAAGGGGAATGCGGGAAATGTTTGCGGCCAGCAAGCAGGTAACGGGTCCCCTTTTGAGGAGGTGGCAAGACCCCGGCATAGCTCATCCATTATTTGAAAAAACTGAGGCTCACACTACCTTTCCCTCCTAATCCCTTCACATGTTCATAACGATGCATTTATTACAAAAGACAGGATGTTAAGAATAATTCATATGTGCATGAATGGGCAATTTATACACCGAGGGCTTACCGGGCGGTCTGAGGACAGCTAATTACCTCTGTCCCTGTCTTGCCAGAGATAGAGAGGCACTTAAGGGACACGATGGTCCTAATTGCCACATAAATATATTGGACTGTGGTAGCCAATATTATCAAATGGACCACAGGCAGGTAACCATATTTCAGAACTACTGTTGCTTTTCCAGTGTGTCTTTAAGGGCTGACAACAAACATCACTGGGGAGCAGATATACGCTAAAAAAAAAAAAAAACAAACAAAACAGAGTAAGATTAGATCTCCCTAATACACTCCCTGCTCCCGAATAATTATTACTTTCGAGATAGTTCAGGTTTGTTTCGTTTTCAATTTATTTAAAAGTATCGTTGTGAGGCTTGGATAAAAATTTTCTTTGAATTCTGGAAACTCGTCCCACTGAAGTTCGTATACCTTTCACCAGGAGACGGCACAGATCCCAGCTCTTATCCTCGCACAGGGACAGTTGATTCGTACAGCACAGATCACAGCGGTGCCTCTCACCATACTGCTGGGCTCACAGGGTCAAACCCGTAAAACGAGATTTCAGTGATTTAAATCAAACGCTGTTATTAACACGAGGAGGATTATCCTCTGCTGGTTAACACAGAGTTTGGATGCTATTCTATTTTTTTTTTTTTTCTCTGATTTTTTTCGAGAGCACTTCCGGCTGCCTGTGCCGGGCGGTTTTTCCCGGCGCCATCCATCCCCTACTGCGGCCGTGCGCCGGGTCCCGCACCCCGCGTCCCGCACCCCG